GATTCACAAAATCCTGCCACCAGATTCCATCATGTGCAAGTTGCATCCATCGATTCCGATATCTCTAAGATCCATCTTAATGTCAGGATCCCACCTATGCCTAGTCTTCCCAGTGGTATCCTCCCAACCAATACCTTATAAACACCCCTTCCCTCCCCCATGCATGCCGCATGTCCAGCCCACCTCATCTTCCTTGATTTAATCACCCTAACAATATCAGGTGAGGAGTAGAGGATTATGGATTGTACTTAGTCAAAGAACAGTTTTCTTATTTATGAAGTGAAGAACATATACAGAAGATAACATATACAGAAGATGCAAGCTACATTAGTTACTGCAGAAACTAGAAACAGAATCACTAATTTCTAGTGCAAATAAACAGGTTAACTTAGTTCACAACAAGCTTAAATACATTCATGATATTTAGATTTAAGCCTGCTTATGTTTTCCCTAAGTTCACTGTACTAAGCCTCTAATGTATACTAGTCTGTGCTTCTGTAGCTGTATCCAGAACACTGCACGAATAAAACAAGAAACAAAATAACAGACTGTTGCACTGTTTGGCACAAAAATGTATTTTTCATCAGTCAACATGCAACTCAAAAATCATCATATTATTGGCACTGCTTACTCCTTTAAGTGTTTAATTACAAAGTGCAGATTTTTATGCTATGATGATGATATACATGTTCTGACCTTATTTAGCCATCTTCAGGTAAATAACTTACATGAAGATTTCTGTCTTCTGGGTTGTTGTGCTGTGTAGACTGGTCTATGTTAACCAACGTTTCAGAGGTCATACTGCCTCCATCATCAGAGCGTTGGTTAACATCGACCAGTCTACACAGCGCAACAACCCAGAAGACAGAAATCTTTGTACTCACCGCTGTGAAAACCTCAAATTTTACAAATAACTTACATGTTACGGTAGTAGTTTTCTTCAGTTGTTTGACATCTATAGCATCAGCCGACTGAAGCCAGCCATGTTATTACTTTGGGCACCATGGTTAATTGCCTGGGGAATGTCCTTGGCAGTCTAGTACTAAAGTTAAAGAATTTCTAGCAGACTGCATGAGACTTGGGTTCAATTACTTGACAAGATTAATTTTTTTTATTATACCTAAAATATCTTGTTCAGATTGTAAAAGTATATGCTCATATCAGGACCACTCTGATCTTGAGAAATTTCACAGCTAATCCAAAGTAGTGAATGCATTAAAAGAAACTCAGTCACAGAACAACAGATACTATGAAGATAACAAATTAGACTGAGCAAAATACTTGTATAAAGTATTAAGAATTTTGGTGTATTGCTACCTGTCAGCACTGTCTTTAATGTCTGTTCTATTAAGCAGGAAGATGTCTGGACCCGAGGTGGAAAAAATATCTACACATGCGTTCCTCTGCGAAGGGCCTCACTGGGACCACGATGCTGAAACATTGTATTATGTTGACATTAAAGGCCCTACAGTCCACAACTATGTCCCAGCCAGAAATAAACACACAGCAATGAAAAATGGTATGTGTCACTACTGTTCCATAATAACGAAGTATTAGTCAATAAACAAAAATTTAAACAAGATGTACTACGTAAATGCTCACGACACAGCATCAGGAAGAAAAATCATACCATTATCTGTTCAAGGACATACCAATCTCCCAAAATCTTAAAGTGTGCTTGGAGCTGAACAGGAAGACATGACAGCTGTCAATAAACGTCTACTGATTACCTATGTCAACAGTATATTTGTGAATGCAATAAATGAACATCAAAATGGATGAGGTACAAAATTTCAAAAATAATATAAATGGAAACTGTGGTTTTGAACTGGAATGCATGACAACATTCATCTTACAATTCTTTCAATTGCCACAGTATTATTACATCATACATTAATGTATTCTTCTGCTTTGAAGATAGATTGATTCAATTTGAAACGTTCTGCTTCATAATAAATGTTTCTATTCTTTCCCCCCAGCTTTTATGATCCTCTGCTACACTTTTCTCTTTACATTCAATATCATTCATTATAAAGGTTAAAAATAAAGTGGAAATAAAATTCCATGTGTTCTTAACTCCAGCACTGAATTCAGCATTCAGCTCATTTGACCACCAGGGACAGAGTCCCTGGTAACCACTGGATAGAAAGGTCACTGGGACAAGGTGGCAAAAATTATGTCAAGACGAACCAGAAAACTTGCCACAGAAACACCTCAAAACCTTAAAACCATTGCATGACTTGCCGACACATACCTGCAAAACCACAAATGAAATGAATCTTAATTTCACATTTATACAAAGGTTGTCTTGGTTATGACACCATGTAGTCTTATGGTTATATATTACAGCCTCATTATTCATCCTTCCCTTCCAAAGACCCTTAAAACGACTACTTTTTTTTTCCCTTCAACCATACTTCCTGTCTAGTGAACTACATAAAATTATATTTTTATTCACTTTATTACATAATGCAATTCACCCACTTCTGTAATCTATCAAGAAGATAGGCACAATCTACATTCATTGGCTTTTTAAAATTTCATTACATCACTATTTAGACTCAGTAGCAATTATTGCTTCTATGACAGTTGTGCAGATCAGTGCAAAAATGAATATATTAAGGGACTCCAACAAAATATTTACCATGTAGTCCTATTCTTAAATTACTGAATCATCCTTCAAATATGTATGCCACTGTAATTTGTATAAATGTTTGGACAATCCTTTAAATAATATTTGTAAGAACATTCTGAGTTGCCCAAAATCATAATCCAGTCCTGCTAAATAATATGGCCATAAGTCAAATCAGTGATACCAATACTTAGGTTTTTGACCTCATCCTGCCCATCCTGAACCTCATGGAAAAATAACACATTATAAATACGATGTATGAGCTGTCTTGCATGATTAGTCACTTCCACTTTTATGATTCTTTCAGATGGTGTCCATATCTTACTTGTCATTCCACTTGAAGGGACAAAAGACAAGTTTGTGATTACTGTAGGGCGTAATGTTGCTATACTGACATGGGATGGTGAAAGCAGCACTCCTACAGATGTAAAATATGTTAGTGCTGTTGACAATGAGAAAGAACTTCAGGATAACAGGCTAAACGATGGCAAGGCAGATCCCACTGGTCGACTCTGGGCAGGTATGGAATGAAGCCAGATGCATCATGCATAACATTCTGTTACTATGCACTGAATTTGGTGTATGCCCTATATATATATGCTATGCAAAATTATTTCTACAGATTTACATATAAAAGTAAATCAAGCAACATTAAACTAGAACCAAACAGAAAATCAGCATGACATTTCCAGAAGCTACCAAGTCAAATGTTGTTTTTCAATACGAATTTAATAACTTATAATACCTTCATTGCAACCACTAACAGAGGAACTTTATTTTCCACCCAGACTTCAGCTATTAATAATTAAATGACATAATATTCAGACTATATTATTATTCAGTGTTCTGTCTTACGACAGGTCCATTGCTCTGCCCAAACAGAGCTCTCCAGTTTTCCCTATTCTCGGCTTCTCGTTTTAATTCCTGGAACGTCATCTTCTTTCCTTGTTTAAGATCGTCGGTTAGCTGTATCAATCTTCTTCCTAGTCCTCTCTTTCCTTCAACCTGGCCTTCGGTGATATCACTCAGTAATCCATTCCTTCTCATAATA